GTGGGGTGGTGCGAGGTATGGAGAGGTGAATGGGGCAGATGGGGGAAAGTATGCGACTGGCAAATGGGCTTGTGGGGACGGGGATGTTGTGGGGCATGATTGGTGTTAAAACAAAATAATGTACGACTGATTCAGACGCTATCTAACTGAACAGGCTGGGCCAGGGGTACGTAAGGGTGTTAGTGGGAAAGGGCTGGGGGAAGTGGATGGGGAAAAAGCGTGTCCCGCGCTACTTACTGACGGGCAGGGCGATCTTGTAGACTTTATTCCGCAAAACTCTGCAACACGGCGTCCCGGCTGCGCAGCCGATGTGCCTGACTTGAAAGCAGTGCTTGCTTGCTCGGAGGCCCGGCCGCCGACTCTGAAGACGGTGCACGTCAGGGTACGCACACAGGATGCAAGGGTGCTGTTTCATGATGAGATCAATCCGCGACAAGAGGCGCACGACGCATGTTTTTTCTTGTGCAGTAGATGAACCGCAATGGGAAGCATGGCAAGTGTGTATGTCATGTATATATATCTGCATATATGCAAGGTGCCACTGACGCTGATATGCAATTGCACGCGGCATGTGTTTTTTATATAAGGGAGGCTTGGATGATGGGATGAGCCGCGGGAAAACAGACGAATCCAAATTTGACCCGAATGCGTTTGCGGATCCTAGAACGTTCCGGACACTTAGGTGCGTCACCTGCACCCCAACACAGTAACGGCCAACGTGGAGGAGGAACTGGAACTGACTGATTGAGATCTTCATTTCAGTCGTGCGCATCATCATACGGCGTGACTGTAGAACTCTACAGGTATGGGGTCACGTACCCCCAACCATGTAACACATACACACACACACACATACACACACACACATACACACACACACATACACACACACGTACACACACACAGACATCGTACGCATGGAATGCCTCGTGGGCGAAATTTCAGCGACGATTAAAGAACAGAATGTTTTTAATTCGGAAGGTAGCATAGGAAACTTGTGAAACATTCCCGAAAATCATTTTTGCTGTCCAAGAAAACTACGCTGGCCGCCATGTGAAATCCTCGTTTGGGGTTGGGGACCCTGGGAGCCCCTTGTTCTTGGCTCCAAAACAAATCGCCATTTTGTCTTTTCGGGGGAAAGATTTGTTGGGTCTAACACAAAAAAAGTGTTTTGGGCCGCGGATGTTTCCGCCTAAGCGGCGCCAAAGCCAGTTAAACTCTGCCCCGTCGACAAATGTTAAATCCGTCTGCTCTGTTCCGCTTTGCGGGATCCCTTGCTCCGCAGCTTTCATCGTCGTCATCGGGACATAGAGCAATGCAATACCAGGAAGCCAATAATTGATTCTCGATCGGAGGGGGTGAGTTGGAGTGGCAGTTCCTGGCGTCTTCCCGACAGTGTTTTTGTTTTCATTTTTGCCCGCCAGTTTTCCAGTCCGAACGGAGGAATAAAATTATTCCTAATCTGTAAAGCGGTGGGGGCCCCTTCGCCTTCCCCAGACACCCCCCTGAGTTACATTTGAGTTCGTACAAGCACCGGGTTGGGGAAATGTCGCAACACGCACACATCACAATCTCTCCAGAGAGGTGTCTCTTACAAGCCAGGAAGCGGCGCGCACTTAGACGCTTTGACAGGAAGCCCGATTGCACGGGCAACTGCTGTATCTAAGGGCTTGCAGAGCCCAAGCAAACACAGACCAGTTAACCCCCACTCAAGCACTGATCGAATAGAGTTCGTTCGCTGCCGTCGGCTGGCTGCAGCGTTGCGTTCACATTGCCTAGGACCTCTACGCCGTCTTCACCACCGTCGCTAATGGCTTCAGTGAAGTTAGATTTCTGCTTTGGTGGCCTGTCACGCTTTGGGAGCTTCGGATCCGAATATTTTGCAGCGTTTGGTCCGGTCGGAAACATTCCTGTTCCTCGTTGACTCGGGGGTGTGACCTTCCTAACAGTATCCATGGCATTGAAGTGCTATGATATGGTTAACATGTTTGTCTCCTGTTAGATTCTAGCGGCTTTGGCATGACAGCCATTTTGGGCTGGAGGAATGAACTTGTACGGTCGGAACACAATCTACTCCTAATTTTCAGGACCACTGACAATTTTTTATTCCGAATTCGGGACATATTCCGTAAAAAAATCACTGCTTCCCCGAGGGTCCCCACACTCAGGTACGACACAGGAAGGCCGTACAGTATACAATTCCTGATGAAATTTGGGAGACCTGAGCTTTTCTCCTAGGCATCCCTGCATAGCCTCTCAGGCATACATTCCCATCCCTGCATCTTGGCCGACTGGCATACGCTATGCCCACGGCGGTTAATGGACCTTGTTGCTTCTTTGGTAGCGGAAGGCACCATGAAAAAATCAGCTGCTAGGATAAATAGCATTTGCCCGTCCGTACACGTCCCGTCTCCCCGTCTGGCATTCACACGCCGGAATTCCCGAATTTCTCTCGGCTGGCGTATATCTGCGCACAACCTTGCGGAAGATCACCCTGCTTAGGGGAACTTCAATGGGAGCTGCCCCGAAACCCATGGGGGCAAGGGCAGGTAGTACGAACTTACGACTGCAGGAAAGCTCCCCACATAGGAGATGCTGTACGGATTGCAGCTGCAATCGTAGCTGTCGCACCTGCATTGCATGACGTCCTACTCAGCAGGCAATACCGGTTTCGCGGTCGATGATGGGCTCATGCATGCATGGGCGCTGGTCGGCCGACGCGTCAGTGGCAATAACGGCGGGCGCAGGTGAGACAGAGATGAGGGTGCGACTCACCGGCAGTAGGGGAAGCGCGCGAAAGGTGCCTTAACTGCCCCTTTACGCGCTATTGCTGCTTGCAGCGCCTTGAGACGGGCTAACCGAAGTGCTTCGGGAGTAGCAACTCCGGAAGGCCTTGACTGCGCCAAAGCAGCGCCCACTGCAACCCAATCAGAGTTGATGTTATCACTTGGATGGAAGCTTAGTTAATTTGTCGCAAAGGAGTTGAACTTTGGCGACGTGAAGTACTCGGCTATGAGACTCGTTGCGAAGCACAACCCAAATGTAGAGGTATCTAAAGTTATATTCACGTCCAAGTTATTGGAAAGGAGGTAGGCAAATGCGATAATCGTAGGTAAAGCTAGTCGGCGGTGGCTCGACCGTCCGAGCCGAGCCTGCCGAGCGATCACACCACAAAGCGAACTTTTGGCCTCAAGCTACTAGACGATATGTAATAACAATTAAGTTACCTGTGTAAACGAGGACTGTTAACGCTAGCGAGCATAAGGTTGCCAACAAGGGCGGGCGAACGCTGCGCATCCCCGTAGATCGGCAGCTTATTGGAAAAGTATAAAGGCGAGGTAAAGTAATGTCAAGGCCTAAGCTAGATGAGGACTAGAGATGAAACCGAAGTACCCGTCCGTTGGGCACATTT